GTGTGTGTGTGTGTGTGTGTGTGTGTGTGTGTATGTGTGTGTGTGTTTGCATGCATGTGCGAGCGCGTGTGGTACGCCAGCGTGAACGAACGTATTTGTGTATACATAATATAGGACTGCGGATCCTAACTGTTACGTGAATTCCTTCGTGAAATCTATAGATGTTAGAAGTCTACTGTTCAGCACACCAGGCAATACCTCCTTGTGCATACTAATGATTGTATATTAAATTCATGACAGTTGAATGTCAACTCTTATAGTGATAAAAACGTCACGCTATTTCATAGAGATATGCACACTTTACAAAATGTACACAATTGTTTTATAGAAACTTCGTTATATACCCTTAATAATGCGAATATAAGGTACCTGCTATACGGTGCACACCTATCCAATTTCTACATTAGTTGTAACTTATGGAGAAATTGAACTACACTGCTGTTCCACTGCGGATAACGTCAGCAATGCTAATATCTCCGTAATGGCACTTGTAGCGTTTCATTTTTATATACACGGCTTTAAAACTTTCCCCGCATTTGTTTTAGCTCACCATTCACTTAGTCCCAACAACGGCTTACATGGGAATCTCAGTCAGCGTGCTTAATCAGTAGACTAGACTTTCTACGGCCGGTCATTCCAAATGGCGAGGAGGAAAGACGGGGTGGTCACCCTCGAGTGCACACATACACATACACGCGCAGGGAGAAATCGCAAACTCGTCACTCTTTGCGTGTATTAAACAATAAAAGCTTGAGATGTTAAGTAAAGGTCAGGAAAAAAACGTTTTTGGCACTTCGTGTTAGGTGCACTGTTCATGTGATTACTAGACGGACAAGTGGATAGCTCGTAATTTGCAGCGAATTGATCCTCCCCGTTAGGGGGCGCCACAGACACTGATTCCACGCGTCCGCCACAATACTACCTCATCAACTCGAAAACATCTGCAAATAAGAACCCGATTGAGGGTATAATACTCCCACCCCAAACGACACCCACTACTCTATGTTTGGGTGAAATGCACCATTCATATTAAATTCGCATTGTGCAGTATTTTAAATATATGCAGCATTCACGTTTGCGAAATGAACAGCCGAACATCGCATTTCGTAAAGAATTCCGCAAAGCATTCTGTATACCAAGCTATCTATCCGTATGCTAGCTTTCAGGGCGGGGGTGCTGGGTCCAAACCACCTCGATTACTGAATCTGCCTTGCTAAACTTGAAACTTATCAAAATGAGACATACATACAAAAATATCATCAACACGACCGCAGGATAACTAAGTTTTAAATAACCAATTAAAGTAAATAAATATGACCTTGTACCTGTCAACAGTGCCTTCTGCATTGAACCCTTCGAAGAGGGCTTGGAGTCTTCTTCGGTTTATGTTGTACGTCAGAAGATGCTGAACGTGAGATGCTGCTATGAACGCTGGTGATGCCCTTTACCACGTGTAACATCACCGTGTAGATTTTCTCGAGGAATATCCCTGAGGCTATATCAGCAAGGCAGTAGAAGGTGCACCACAGGGTGCAATTGGAACAATGTAGGTACCTGGTATCAGTAAGTTTCTGACTTGGAAACACATGGGAGAGAGCAGAAGGCGGGCAGGTGTTTCTTTCCCTACTTCGTGCCACCAAGAGGTTGCCAAGGCCCACCCTATATTTTCTGTTGTCCACGTGATCATGGTATGGCAAAGTAAGGCCTATAGTTAATTGATTTGAAATGTGTTATAACATATCCTTGGGAAATTAAAACTAAAACTAGAATACAGGCATACTACACAGATCGCGTGTAAAAATGTCGTGACACATGCTGTCAGAGCTAGCTGCCACAAAAAAGATATTGTCTACAATGCCACGCGTGGTCCATGAAACCGACATAGGCGGTAACCTCGCCTGTTGGCTAAGATAATTAAAATAAAATCAAGAGCTAATAACACGTTGTATTACATTGTAATACATGTATCATTAGCTGTTGATAAAATGAAACCAAAATGGCACAGTCGATGAAGCCCGTGTTTAAGGAGTTTTGATTATCAGGTTTAAAAACGCGTAAAGTATGCAGTTGACAAAACAACTACGGCGTGGAGAGTGTAGCAAACGGCGACTCGTGCGACCATCAAAGCGCAACAGGAGCCGCATATTTCAGGCCAGCATCACCGCCGCTGCCTCACGAAATCCCGCCAGCCAACCGCAAGTTTATACACGGCTCTAAGACCGTGCATCGCTGTAAGCGAAGGAAATGAAGTAGAGATGCTATTTGTGTGGGCAGCATTGGGCTGGGAAAGGGGGGGGGGGAAATGCGATATTTTATGGTTGGGGAATGTGAAATTTAGGTGTGGTGGGAGGAGGGGAGGAATGTGATATTTGGCCAACGTAAAAGGTGTGCCATTTTCGATCTCTTCACTCGATCTCTTTGGGCCCGGGGCCATTGTGTGACTTCTTGCATGCTTGGTACAGAAATTGACATCATGTCTGCGCTATCGGAGGCTGAATCAGACGACACAGGCACTGTACAAAACCTATCAATCTGGCTCACATCTCAACTGCAACCGGGACGCCTCGGCCACACTGCTTCCCGAAAAGATTCCCGAATCATGATCCCTGTCCACGCGATAGCCTCCCGCGGTCGGTAATACACTCGTATATCCACAGTTTAAATACAGTGCTATATTTCCTCCTCGCAAGCGATATAAAACATAAGGATGGCATAAATAGAATATTAATATGATTATCCACTCGGTTTGCTTTTCTTCATAGCATCACATCGTGTTTGATGAATGTTGTCTGCAGGTCTAAGCGTGGTGACGCGCATCGTTTTGTTCCTCCCTCCACCTGTGTAAAAAAAAACCAGTAAAAGCAGGGATTAGTTTCACTATAAGTGGGCACACGGATGGATTGCTGCTACCTCTCTACTAATTAACAACCGTCTGCAACGACCGAAACATATCCCGTATTTAGGGGCCCATTGTCAGTAACAAAATTAGTATTAACATTAACTTTCCGATTTATCTGACAGCCCCTCCCCCCCCCCCCAGTTTATTGGAGATGGTTTTGACTCAATTTGATATTCGTTGTCCATCTAGAATAGTTATGTGGAACTGGGCTCAGGCCATTATTAGTCACACGTGTATTGCCATCATTTATTTATTTTTACGTGTATTTCAATCATTTATACGTTCTCCACGCAGGCGTTTTACTGTCACCTGCAATCATGCATAGCATAAAATCGCTTTGTAAATTTCTCAATGCAGCCAGGTTTCATTTTATCGACGCAACGTACTATAGAACTAAAACTGTCGTACGCTGTATTACGTATGTACAACGTACAGCACCGTTGATCCTGAACCAAGCATGCACTTAAGGTGAGATATTTGGAACCTCGCAGAATTTTAATTGGCAAGCAATTAAATTCCGAAGTGCCTGCGCATTTCTGCTCTTTATAATTCATATCGGCGCGGCAACAAGTGAACGAGTTCACCCGGCACACGACGAATCGCATACAGTTCATGCATTGTGGCATTCAACGCTGTGCAATTACCTTGGACCTGTTACTGTAGAACCGTGGTTTGAATTTCGGTTTGCCGGGCCTTCCCGCTTGCTTGTCCTGGTGCCGTTTACTCGCCGTGTGCTGCGAGAGAAAAGAAGAGAAAATTTGCAGAAGCAAACGAGACAATAGCTTACACAGAAGACAGTTGGCCATATCCACGGCTACTACCGCCTGTCTTTAAGCTTAAAATAATTGTCTTTTTCAGTGAGAACTGGAAGCGCATTAGGACTGCGAAAGCGCTGGACTGCATCTTATTAGCATAATAGACCCGGCTGTGTGTTGACCACTGTTCATCACTGCCTGGGGCAATAACCGGACATAAGGGGATGTTTGCGTACAGGTCAAAGCCACCAAAAACCAGATCTGGAAACGTACAATTTTGTGTATACCAGTAATAATTAGCACCAGTGTCTGGGAAGTATTTTTCCCCGCCAGCTCTCACATATCCAGAATTGTTTGGGAATAGTAGTTGGGTATAGTAGTTGGGTATAGCAGTATAGTAATAGTATTGGAAATATTAGTGAAGGGAGAAGAGAATACATTCTACTCACTCTACAGCTAACACTCGGGGGTTCAATCTAAAAAAAGCGTAAAAACCCCAACCCCAACGTTCTTAGAATTTTTCGCATTAAGAAAGGTGCCGTTCCCGCAATGACTGAAGGAGCACTAGAAAAATATTCTGCGGGTTGACGGTGAATATAGCGACACGCAAATCAAGGGGATAATAGGTTACAGTTGTGATGGTAACAACACATCAATGGTTACAGTTAACGGTACGGTACGGACCACTACACAAGAAGCTGGACAACTACACAAGAAGCTGGACAACTACACAAGAGGCTGGACAACTACACAAAAGGCTGGACAACTACACAAGAGGCTAGACAACTACACAAGAGGCTGGACAACTACACAAGATGCTGGACAACTACACAAGCGTCTGGACAACTACACACAAGGCTGGACAACTACACAAGATGCTGGACAACTACACAAGAAGCTGGACAACTACACAAACAAGAGGCTGCCATGCAACCCTAACTTACCTGCTGCAGCTGAATCTCTGAGTTCACTGTCACGTCACAGATCTGGCAGAAGAATTTGCCCGCCTTGTTCGTCGGCGATGCGAATTTTGTCGCATCGACGCTGTTGCTGCTGCCGATGGCACTGGGCGGCGCGGTGCTGCTCGGGGTGTTCGCATCGCTGCTCGAATTCTCGTTGTTCGTCTTCTCTGCGTTAGACATTGCCACGTCCTCACACTCATCGCCCTCCTCTGTTTTGATTTCCTTTCCGGTCGTCCTCTGCTTGTGTTTTGTCCCTAAATCAATGCAAACTTCACGGTTATGGGGGGCGACTTCATGGGTAAACTTCACGCGTATAGGTGAGTGAAGCGAGCACTGTCTTATACACAGGATAAACAGATTGTGTAGATGTGTCATCACGGTTCGACCCACATAGGACTCGCTTTATGACCCGTATAAACGTAGCCATGGCAATGAATGGCTTCATTATATCCGCATAACCAGATTCATGACCCATATTCTCCAATATATCTGCATTTATGTCGCATTATATCAGAAGTGTCAAAATATAGATCTATATTATCACGCACACACGCACGCATGCACGCACGCACGAACGCACGCACGCACGCACGAACGCATGCACACACACACACATATATATATCATCTAATATCATATATCATATATATATATTATGACACTCCTGGTTATATTACACGCACCTGAGTTGTGAGCCTGCAGTTGTAGTGGAGAGTTGACTGATATCTTGCATAGGTCACAACACAACACCTGTTTGCCCTGCTCTCCATCCTGCACAATGGCATTGGCTGTGACACTCTCTCCTACTGCAACAAAAAGAAATAACAAGAATATGAAACAACAGAAATAAGCGTTTCTCGCGTCAGCAACGTGTCAGCTTATCGCGATGCCTTCTCAAGAATAATGGCCGCTCCCCTCTCTCCTCTCTTCTCTCTCGAGATTCCGAAGTCCGAAGAAACAAAAGTTCGGCCACGCGCGTGCCTTTGGCGAGCACCGGGCCGTGCGACAGCCGAAATCTGTCGGGGAACACGTACGTCCTTGGAACCGCGCATGGAAGGCGATTAGAAGAAGCGCGGTCGCACACGGTGTTTACGATGAGTATTAGCCCGCTAGTTTGCACTTCGTCGAGTTCGCTCGAGTCGCAATGGCGAAAACTCAAGTGGCGAGCGCGACCGTATACGAACAATAAACACAATGTACCCGCTAAAGACAATGCAATCGCGAGCAGAGAGACGAGGTCCGAGTGAATGGACGGGGTGAGGAGGCTGGAGGCGACTTGAGCACGCACGTTGCTTTACGAAGCTCTCCAACCACGAGCAATCGGTGTAGCAGCCAGTACAGACGTGAGCCGGATGCAAACACTAGGAAAGGGAGAGGGCAATGTGCGGCCCACCCATCGGTAATGAGTAGGTTGTGCGTGCAGGTGCGAACAGTCATGAGTAGATAGACCATCGGTCAAGCACCCGAGTGCCTCTCAACGTGGAAACCGTCAATGAAAGTACGACGTCAAAAATGTGTGAGTCATCCAAGAGGACGTCTCTTAGAATTTCTTATACTGCAGGGGCATGAGAATGAGAAAGAGAGAGAGAGAGAGAGAGAGAGAGAGAAGAGAGAGAGAGAGAGAGAGAGAGAGAGAGAGAGAGAGAGAGAGAGAGAGAGAGAGAGAGAGAGAGAGAGAGAGAGAGAGAGAGAGAGAGAGAGAGAGAGAGAGAGAGAGAGAGAGAGAGAGAGAGAGAGAG